TCATTGTGTGCAATCCAATAAGCGATTGCGACATCGAGCAAAACAATCGCGATTTTTCTTAGTTCATAGTCAAACGCGAAATATCCCGGAGACACTCGGAGAGAGACTAGTTGGATTATATTTTACATCTTACAAGTTACAAGATTTGAGGATTTTGCAGTGTGACGCAATCCGCGATTCGATACACCGGGACGATAACACGTCAGCGCGATAATTACTAGCCGCACACCTTTCGCTCACATTTCCTCGACTGTTCTTTCTACCATCACGTATTTTCTCGTAACTTACGAGGACAATCGGGAAAACGGGGGACAGCGACGGCTCCTCCACGGGGCTCCGGGGAGCCATCATCGCCGTGCGCACGTGTCTCGTCAGGGATCCATCGTGGGAGTAATCCGACGCGGCTGCGTCCCTCTCGCATCCGTTACCCTGCGTCTTGTCGCGGCTCTTGAAGACGCGCCGCGCCGAATTGCGGCGCGCCTCCGCGAACGCGATTCCTCGCAGCAGCATCTCGCGCGACGTCGATGTCCACGTCGAAAAAAGAAAGAAGAAGAAACGAAGACGGTGCTTATCGCACTCGGCAAACAGAGCGGCGGTTTCCCTTGTCAACCCTCGGCGATAAAGAGGAACACTGGTCGATGCGCGCAAAGTCGCGAATTATACCGCTGATTTAACTCAAACATGAAAATTCGCGCGATTCGCGAATCGAGGGGACGATTTCCGCGGGGAGATAAACCCGCGACTGTCAGATTTACGACTCGTACGAAGAAATGCGTGCGCACGAAGGCGGTAAAGCGCAAAAGAAAATGCGCGCACAACGAATTCGATCCCTCACTCGAATAACTCGATCAGTTCTGCAGGATCCGATATGCAAGAGCAATATGAGTTTTGCCCGTTATCTGCGGATACTGGCTGATAACACGCGGTACAATCACGTTCGAAAATGCTGGGAAAGCGCTCCACATGTGCGAAGCGCATATGCTTTGCACATGGAGCGAAAGCACAAAGGAACGGGAGAGAAAGCCTAAAATTGAAAAAAGAATCGTACATGCCAAACAATGAAATAAAGTGATATACTAAAATTTCTTTTCTTTTTTACTTTGTAATATTACGCTCGCAGATTAAGAATAAGATCGCGAGATTTGATTTTTTTAAAATGTCTAGGACGCGAATTTGTGGCTGATGCATTCCGATTCACTGTCAGTACCGAAAATCTATATTTTTCAATATTTTACGCCACGTATACTGAAGATTTTCAATACTGACAGTTGCTGACAGTAAATATCGGGATGCAACCTATATGTCGATTGCGAGATCGTAAGATGAAAGATTGCTGCTGTCAGAGCCGTTAAGCATTGAAGAAAGCGAATGTGTAATAATTTTGTATCGGTTGGTACCAGTCTTATTAGTTTTTCTCATATTCATTATGTATCGATCTATACTATGTTAAGTTGCATGTTCATTTTTTTTATGGAACTCTACGCGTCTAATTATACAACGCAATAATTACATATTAAATGACTTTGTACGTATGCTCTCAATTATATGCATATACTGCACATGCATTGATAAAAATTTGCATATTGGTACCAACCTAGAATTCGAGCATCTTATTTCTTATTATCGAAAATTATGCGGATAGTGCGTTTCCAGAGTAACTTTCATTATTAAAACTTAAAACTATCTTTATCTGAGAATTGGAGCCTCATTATTATGCCGCGAGCGAATCTTGTTTAATTTATGCTGCACGTGGAAGACGGTTTTTGCACGTAGTACGTATATGTAGCACACTGTGTTCGAGAAACGTGATGTAACACGCTATAAACATAGCAATTGAGATAAAAAACATACTGATGTTTGTTTTACACTTGTTCGAGTAACGTTTTCCCGTGTTCATAATCTCTTATTCAAAGAATCGTAGCAATTTTATATATTTGCATACGGTACACAGGAAATGAAGATAAATATAATTTTTGTATAGAATATAACGAAAGGATTTCAATTTTTAGACACGCACGCTACTGATATAAATTTTACATATTCCATAAGCGTACATTTTTTAATACCATAATACACGCGAGATCTTTCATCCGTTGAAATGTTTTATATATCATCCAGAACGAATTGCGAGAACTGCGAGAGCTCCGGCTACGTCTCAGTCGCGAGACGAAGAGCGAGCCGGCTCAAGTTGCGAGTGAGCGATCCCCGCAGGAGGTGGACATCGCCGTTAACAGAGCCGACATTCATTTGGATCGTATCGAAGTGTTTTCTGCACGGACTGTACGTCGCTAAGTCCGTCCGACTCCTACCAAGATTAAGGTAATGCTCGGCTGATATGATACAATAGTTATGTAGTCTTTTCAGTGCTCTATGGTGCTTCCGCTGGATGGCCGCGACATTCACGAAGCCTTAAAACAATATCTGGAGTCGCAGGGAAAGAAAGGTACGAGCCTATCATCCCTAATTGTCATGTGATTTGCACGTGGTTGACATTAGTCGTTCGGATGAAGATTAGATTAAATATTTCATCTCCATCTCTGGGAAAACCAGGTGGAAACGAAGAAGACTTGCGTCTCCGGGAATCAGAAATCTTATGGAGGATAATTTGTAACTTTTGCGTCAACTTATTTTTCTAAACAATTATATATATACTTAGAAAAATTAATATGATTGAAAGATCTAAAGCACAATCAAAGACACAGATATATCTTTTACAAGACACATAGATTGAAATCACAAAGTGCTTACCGTAGCGTAGGATGAAGTTTTTGGTTTCCACTATGGGAAACCACCACAATCACCAATGGAAGAAGTCGTGCAGGGACTGAAATGATAAAAGAGCATGCGATTAGGGTGATTGAAAATTTACAGTAAAGCTATTTCTATCGATATCAAGATGTGTTTCATTGTATTAAAGCAATCGCCGTAAGATTAACTAGATATGCAATTCTTCTTTATAGTGGTCATTCGCGCGTCATTCTTTGTCTGCTAATTGGATCGTTCACTATTTCATAAAATCACTATCACCGTCATGTCATTCCTTGTCCTACTTGGCAAAGATCTGCACTTTGTTCGTGTAATTTCTGAGAAACAGCCATTGCAACAATGTGCCTGAAGAGCGAGGACTTTTTGCAGTGATAGAATCATAGTTACATAAACCATGCCAAATAGAAATCATTCATCGTCATCGAACAATGTCTACGGTACAGAAATCCCGAAGAAAAAAAATAAAGCAAAGTGCAGAGCGGGAGGAGGATCGGAGGGGGCTCGCGAAACGGAGCCTGCAATAAGCTCGCTCTCTCTCTCTCTCTCTCTTTTTTTAGGTTATAAGGATGTTATATCTCCCGGAGAGAGATACCCGGTGCAAAGTACAAGGTGCGCGCAGATTACAGCCAGATACTTTAACTGTCCCGGGTACACCTGCCCGCCCCTCCCCCTCGCGTTTATCACAGGCGAGCGGCGCGATAAAGCCTGCGTATAGCGATTCGGGCGACGGTCAAAGGATTAGATCAGCTGTTGACGTCGCGAATCGGCGACGCGTGCATCGAACTGAGTGCGGGGGGCGAGGGGGGCCACCGTTATCCTCGCGGATGCGCGGATGACGAAGCGGGACGTTTTCGCGTGAACGAGCTCGGCGGTGACCGTGCTCCTTTAATGTATCGATTGAACATTCTCGCGATAACCTCAGGCGAGAGCTCGCGAATGAAATTAGGTTAAAGGACGGCGTCACGTCGCCAGGACGGACGGATTCGATCGCTTACCGTGCGTCGATGTCTGGCGCACATTCTTGCTCGAGGAAAAAACGCAGGGGAGATACCGAGGCGTCGACGCTACCCGCGTGAAACGTTCACGTCACTGACATTTCCCCGTGAAGCACCGTGACCGCGGGCACCCGCACTCGCCGCTCGACGAGTTCACGCGTTCGCGTCGGACCCAGCGAGAGTCACGAGACGAACGGGTTGAGGGACGCGCGCGCGAACGAACGAACGAACGAACTCAATGAGAGTCCGAGCACCGAGAGCCGAGAGGCGCCAAGCCGTGGCCGCGTCACGGCAGACCGGAGTCGAAAGCACCACGTTAAATATAGGATGCAAAATCGTGCGGCCTACGACTCCTACACGAGATCCGCGAGCGCCTCGCGGGATGCGCACACAACCGAGCGCCCAGCGCCGTACACTCGGCGCCGTTTATCGCCTTCTGTGTCTGTCTCAAAAGTTAGGCCAGTTTAGGAGCTTTACAACGCGAACGCGTCGTACCTTGATACCCTATACATCGTGATCGTAGGTTTATACAGGGTGTCTGATAATGACCGTGTAACACCCGCCGACCCCGCCGTAGGTAGAGCGGGTCAAGCTGGAGTAGAAAAGTCCGTTATCAGTTTGCGATATGCGCAAATGTTATTCTTACAGAAAAGTTGCAAATCGATTGGCTGGTCGCATAGCTTTTAACCAATCAACTTGCAAACTTTTCTGTAGGAGCAGAATTTTTCGTATACGTTTCTCTTGCGAATGAATTTAAGAATCGAGCCCTAGGATTTTCCTATACCTACCCGGGTAGTACACTTTATTATTAGACACCCTGTATAGGCTTCGTTTTCATTGGAGGCGTGAAGGCAGCATTAGTAAGAGAAAACGATAGTGAATCAGATGCTTTTTCCTTATCCGATTGTTGAACAGGAGTAGGAGAAAAAAAGGAGAAGCAGTTGCCTTTAAATGGGCATTCTCTCTTTCTTTCTCACACTCTCTCACTAACTCAATCACTCATTCATTCAGTCACTCTTTTACTCTCATCCTCATTCACGCTGTCACTCTCACCTTCATGTTTCCTCTGCACCGTCTTCACTGGTCTTCACTCAGCATATTGAGTGATGGAGAGAGAGGGAGGGAGGGAGGGAGAGAGAGAGAGAGAAAGAGAGAGAGAGAGAGAGAGAGAGAGAAAGCGCATATCTCTGTCCTTCAATGTGTATCGTCATTATCGTCATTATCGTCAGCTGTCGTATATAATGCACACTCTATCTGATAACAGATAAAGTCTCTATGTAAGTCTCTGATGTGACTCAAAGTACGCTGTCTCTATGACTTTGTCTGATGTAACGGAAGTACGAGAGTGCGCAAAGAGTAAGATTAGAAAAATAAATAATAATATTACACACAACATTATTAAGATCAACCGATGGAAAAATAGTTTTAAATTTTGCGATCGCAATAAATTTCTAAATATAATACATTTGATCTAGAAGTGCCTCATTTCAAATGTGAAAACATAATGAACGCGCTTCATTTATCTTCTTCGCGTTGAACATTAACTTTCACGGTAATCGCACTTGCGGTTCCCTTTCGACGAACTTAATTCACATCGAGCAGTTAACACACTTGAGTTAGACCGACCCTTTATTACGTTTTAGAGCAAAATTTTCGTTGAAATTTTTTTTTTTAATTTCTGTATTTATAAGTAATAGAGTATCTTGGGAATACTGATTAAATTACTTAAAATTGTTAAAGTTGGTCAACTCGGTTGTTTACAAAATTTTACATTATACGACAACTCGGTTTCATATTTTGTTTTGGATTTCGCAATCTTGTTCTATATCAAAGCGATACTTTATAGGATATTACACTTCATTTACTGTTCATATTTGAATAAACGCACAGAGTCGTATTTCGTATTAAACAGAAAAGTAAATTTCGCATAATCATAATGTGCCGATTATTTATAATTTGTATCATTTTTTAACGCGATTTTAATTACTCTATCATTCGATCAAATATCTACGCGTTTAATAATAATTTTTTTGGAAATTATTTTACTTTCTACTTCTACTTTGATACTTTCGCGAAATACTTTAAATGTTGGCTGACGCTCATTCTAAATTAATCTTTTTTTTTTCATGATGTATATGTATACGTCATACACATCCTTGTTACTATAAGAGACAAACACCATTCTTCCTTTCAGCAGTCGATGCGCTTTTCTTTCTCTCATCTCCCGATTATTGTCCCCAATTAAATATCTCGCCGATACATATGCTGCTCACGTTGCATCAATCATATCCGATAAACGAGCTGTTGTTTCCGCAACATGGCGGCCATATTTCCCCCCGTCGTACACGCATACCTACGAGCGGGCATTTGTAATTACGCAACACGCATGCACGTGTGTACTCGCAACGGGATCGAAGCAGCATTGTGTTGCACGTAGCTTATTATTTCCGAAAATTCGATACCCGTTTCGTCTCCGCCGTCGTCAGTTTCGACAGCCGGCGCGAGAGCGCGCGTCGTCGACGGCGCAGCGCATGCGCCGTACGACCCGAACGTCCTAGCTACGACGGTCTAGGAACAATTCGTTCCCGAGTATGACGTAGCTTGCCGCTCGTGAATTTGAACTGGGCATTGACGTCCGTGCGATTTTCCGTGTAAATTCAGCTTTCGACGCGTATTGAAAAAAAAGTGCACCGCTTTCCGCAAAGTTCTATTCTTGTGTATAAATTTAGAACAGTATTGTTTAAATTAATTTTTTTTTCTGTAAACAACTTCGAAATCTTTCTCACCGGGATCATGTCACTTTAATTTCATATTCCACGTTTTTTCCAATCAAATATATACGGCGCATTCAGAAATAATTAATCTTAAAAATTTGTTTGTCGCTCGCGTGAATTAGTCATTTAAGGATTAGAGGATCTAAAAGGATCATTGTAGATGCAATATTTTATAGATAAATCAGTTTTATGTTCGGTAACACTTGTAATTTTTTGCACTCTTCGCGACATAAATGACGCAAGAATGTTACAGTATTGTTTAAATTGATAAGAAATATTTATTTGAATTTATTAAAATTTGTCAAATTTGATAAAATGAAGATTTTACGTCAAAATATATGTACGAGACGACGTTTCACAAAGTGCCTGAACGGTGCGCGATTTGATTGCGAGAAGCCGAGAACGAATGACGCTCGCGAGTCTCGACGAAGGGGTCTCGTCACTCTCGTCGAGTCTCGAGTCGCGCCGTTCACTCGCGCTTTTCGCGAGGCGCGACCGCCGTACGCCGCCTAGAGAATTTTTCTGCCCGTCGGCTGGCAACCTGGATATCGATTGTCATTATTTATATCGTACGTTTCCTCTTCAGTCATCGATTCACTTTTTACATTTTACATTTTTACAGTAATGAGAGAGTTAAGTTTTTCCCACGGGCGTATGGTACTCTAAGTTAGCCCCCACATGTGTGATCATAGGTGTTGTTGAAGGGGAGTCGAGTGTGTGAAGAGAATGACGGATAGCCAGCAGCAGTTTTGCTTGCGGTGGAATAACTTTCAGGCGAACATCACGAGCCAGTTCGAGGCGCTGCGAGATGACGAGGACTTCGTCGACGTTACCTTCGCGTGCGACGGCAGGCGACTCCAGGCGCACAAGGTCGTCCTTTCCGCGTGCAGCCCTTACTTCAAGGAGTTGTTCAAGGTTAGAAAACCATTTTCTTCCCGCTCCCCACCTTAGACGTATCCCCAGCCCCCGCCCCCGCCCCTCCTCCTCCCCTGCTCCCCCGTCATCCTTCCTCCCCCTTTCGTCCTCCGGCGGCGGCCGTCCACCGCCCTCCCCCCTCCCCTCGCCTCTCCTCGTGTCCCTCGTTTCGCCCCTCCCTCGCTCACGCCCGGCGTCTCTTTGCCCCTCTCCCCGCCTCCCGCTCACCGTCGTGCCCCTCCGCCGGGGCGCTCGCGCGCGCGCGCTCGCGTGTATGCGCTCCGCGCGCGCGTGTGCGTGGGTATGCGCACGTAACATGCATTTCCTTCGTCTCATCTTGCGATGAATAATTCCAAAATTACACAACACCTATTTACGCGACGGTCTCTCTCTCTTAACGCGTCTTATCTTTTTCGTCGAGCCTCAGGCTCATTTCGAAGGCGAGGCGTACTCGGGCAGACGGTTACGTCACGACGAGCATCTACTTTTCGCCCTCCGCCCGCGCCCCCCTTTCCCTTCTTCCTCCGCCCTCCCTCCCCCTTCTCCCCCCCGATTGCCCTGGTCTTTCGCGACCGCGTCGAACAAAATTTATAATTGTTGCCCGGCAATTAACGCGCCGGCGAGGCAGGGGAGTCGATAAACGACCGATGGGCTCCGTTACATACGTTTGTTCAATTATAAACAGCATTTTCGGAGCTTTTAGAGACGAAATTATGCAACCGTAATCTGCTCTCTTACCTCTTGTATTTTTTTTTCCAGAAAAGAGATATGATTGAATGCAATTATCTAAATGACGTGACATTACAATATTAGACTGAAATTGTAAGGAAAGAGATAATTGATAGAGATATAGAGGACTTTAAAGATATTCGCTTCCTCCTGATATGATAATTAATACATAGATAATAATTTAGAATTAAATATGGAAAATAAAATGTGCAAAAATCAATTATTAGTACGATAATACTAGCGTCTCCCCAAGATTTCTTTTGATTTTATAGTTACTTATAACTATAGTTAACTATTTTATAGTTACTTATGAAAACGATTGTGGAATGTAGCTAATCTGATCAAGATGGTCATTATGTAATAATATGTACCATATATATATATATCTAGTACAAAAAAAATTATATTAACTTTATTCATAACTTGTTTTTCATTTTGGTAATTTTTTCACTTTTTTAAAACAAACACTTTATAATAACATACATGTAAGATTATTGTAGCATATAATTAATAATTCCATGGGATTTATTTTGCAGACAAATCCTTGCAAGCATCCAATAATTTTTATGCGGGATGTTGAGTTTGAACATCTACAATCACTATTGGAATTTATGTACGCTGGAGAGGTAAATATCTCGCAGGCGGAGTTACCTACATTTCTACGTACTGCAGAATCTCTTCAAATTCGTGGCCTCACCGACTCCCAAAGTAATCAGCACAACAACGAAAAGGTGCGCTTGGCATAAGTTTGCGCATACTGGTGGTACTTGTGTTAGGATGCGATTACAATGCTCAATTTTTAAATAATTTGCAGCATTTGAAGACAAATAACATCCACACATCAAATGGCCGTGGTCTGATCTCGCCAAGCTTTGACGATGAACGCAGTAAAACGCCACCACCTTCGAGCCCTCCACCACTGAAAAGGCTGTGTAAAAGAAGTGATTCACCTCCAGTTTCTAGTCCAACACCCTCTGTGCCGCCTTGTGCTACCATTGCACCACGTTCGCGCCCACTTATCGAGCCTCAAGTTCAGCTCGATTGTTATAAAGATCTCGATATTGTTGAGGTATTTTATCCTGTACATTTGCATATTTTTGATACATCTTTCGTACATACACAGATTTTCACAATATCTATTATTAACTTGTATTTTGTGCTTTCAGCCAAAAATAGAATTACCTGAATATGGCAGTGATGACGATTGCTCACCTAAACAGGAAGCTAATACATTGCCCAGTGGATTTCTCAGCTTGGATAGTGGTATGGAAGTGTTACCGTCTTATCCATCATCTTATCAAGGTAATTAGTTTACGAGATATTTTATTGAAAATTAAAAGGAGACATTTTGTTTTGTAAAATTGTCTGGATAACTGAATTTTCCAGATATATATATTCTAATCTTTTTTTCATGCTTCTTTGTTGAAAATATCAAATCGCTAAAACTCATATTATTGTTTCTATTTTAGGAAACCAGAATGTAGAAGGAGGAATGCCAGGTCCATCACACGGGAGTACGGAATTAAATCAAGAACAGCAAGGTGAGTCAAAATTTATTATTTTTTTGGTAGTGCGAGCACCATTACAAACAGCAACAACCTAGCCATTACATCACAAATGTCAAATGTGAGTAGAAACAAGGAAGCAGAAAGGAATCTTGATGGTTTGAAATGGTAAGCTCGTGTGTAGCTCGGTAGGTCTTGGTAGGTGGTAGGAGACATTTGACACTCGGAGGCTGTAACAGGCCTGAGTCCACAGAGTGCAGTTTGCAGTTAAGCAGCTGTGTTGTATGAACGTTACCGAAATAGCCCGGAAACTTTAAATCATTAACAATTTAAGTCCTGCGTGTACATATTTAAAAACAACCCCATCCCATTATGCTTTATAATTTTTTGTTTTCCTGCTTCACATGTATATTAATGCGTATACATATACATATATACATACACTAAGTTGCCCTGGTAAAATGTTTAATATAGAAAGAATAATTGCTTATTAAAATGTTAACGCTCTAAGATAATATTGTCAAGAAAGACTATCTTATAATCATTTGCTTTCTCGTTTACTAATTATAAATGCCATATTTACACGTGACAAGTTCTTAAATTGGCTTGTACATATTGCTTTAGATCAAATCAATGTAATATGATAAAATGATATGATTAGTGTTATACATTTTTCATGCACATTGTAATTGCATTAAAGCCTAATCGTTGATGAATATACAAATAAAAGTGTAATACGTGGGATTTTATCTGTAAAGCCCGTATCAGACTACGAATTGGGATTGAGATTGGATTGAAATTTGATCAATCAGAGCAAAGTTCACTAAACCTTCACTCACCTGATATCAGTTTTCTTTATTCTGATTGATTAAATTTCAATCCAATCTCAATCCCAATCCGTAGTTTGATACGGGCTTAATTGTATCTGTGACTACCCTATAGTGTTGAACAGCTTATTGATGCATTTATTCTGAACTTGTATCAAGTAATTTTGGACTGCTATCTCCTTTTTTTATTACAATTAATTTATTGCAATCAAAATCTACATTTATTTATCAAGTAATTTATAATTGATAACAAAAGTCATTATGCTACCACATATCAAAATGACGAATCTGTGTCTACATGTCTGTAACAATATATCTAATCTTCTGTTTAGAAGTACTATGTTTCTATACATAATGGAAAAGAAATTAAAGATGTGCAGGGAACATGCAAAAACAAGATTTTCACTAATTTACTACTTCTCATTATTCATCGATTCATGCTTACCATTGTTTTCAAACTATATGTTTTTTCTTACTGCATTACCATTGTTTTGTCTGCCAAACATATTAGACTCATCGCATCCTTGCAAGTGATACTCTTGCGGGGGGATCCTTTTTGTACTGTACCGTGCAGGCAGCAAAAATTGGGTAGCGCTAAATAGGGTTGTTTGCTGGTTGTTGCTGTCCTGTGGTGGGTGGTATCATTCTGATATTATACGTGGTGTGACAAGGCGTGGTGCTATGCTGTGGTAACGTGCAATGCTGTGGGCTGCTACCGGTTAGAGCAAGTTGTGTGTGTGTTGCAGCTGACCTGCGTAAACTGCACTCGCTGGACCCACGCCCCTGTCCTGTGTGCAACCGCATGTACAGTAACTTGTCCAACCTGCGGCAGCACATGCGCCTCATCCACAACCCTCAGAGTGTCACTTGCCCTCTATGTAACAAGCCATTCAAGACCAAGCTGTACCTGAAGCGTCACCTGGTCAGTTTCCACGAACTCAGTGTGGCAGACAGGCAACGTCAGGAAGAGATCTACCAACATCAAGTTAAGGTTCAGGTCCAGGGACAGGGACAGGGACAAACGCAAACGCAGGTTCAGGGAGGAGCTCAAGCTCAGACCCAAACACAAGTTCAGGCTCAAACACAAGCTCAGATTCAAGCTCAGACTCAGGTGGATAATAAGGTGCTTTTAGCGGCTCCTACCCCACCTGCCCGGGCTACTACCGAGGAAGGTGGGGCTAGCGGTGGTGGCAACAACACCACCACCACGGAACCAAAGCTCAGATCGTATCAGGCACAAGCTGGCGATAATGCTTATCCGGTAGAGGTAGCGCAGATTGGTGATTCAAAGCATTTTGCTAGTGGGATGTTGCAATTCGATGCTACGTATCACTAATGTGTGTACAGGATTTATTTATTTTTTATTCTATCGCGCCCAGTATCATTTTGTGATATAGTAACGAATCGAGTTTATCTTTATTGTTTAGTGAACTTGTGATTCAATAGGAAACGTATCTTCGTAGTTGACCGACAAGTAGGTAGATATAACGTTACGACACAAGGCTGATTCCGTATTTAATAATCAGGTCCTGCGCCTCCCCTCAAAGTGCGCAGGTGTATAACTTATAATTTTTAATTTTTTGAAATGCGTATGCAATTCTTGTTGCACGAACACGAGTGGAGGACAAGATGTCAAATTCGATTAATCGGTCGCGTACTTGATTGTTTTCGTCCGTAATAAGACGCCTACATAGATCATTCGAATGATCATTCATACGAAGGTCGACAGTGTATATAGGTTTGGGAGACTAGTTTACATATAAAAGTCCCGTGCCTATTCATCGTAAAGATGAACGCTGATGAGGGAGAGAACGACTAAAATGCCGATGGTGGAGCAGCCATCCCACCTCGTACTGATAATTCTGCAGCCGGATACTTGTTGTTTTATTTAATGCTATACAGTGTTATACAGACTACAGATATTTACTACAATATTATATTCTTACAGAGGATTATATTTACTTTATTATTGCAACGCAATGTGCAATGACATAGCTCGTACATGATATATTTTTCACATGCATACATTGCAATATACAGCCAATTGACAGCTCAACAGAGTAATAATATTTATTATTAACAGTTATCAACAAACCGTGATCGCAATAATGCAGCAGATTGAATTTAACAATATATAATAAGAAGGCAATGTCTCTGCTGGTTTCATGTTTCTAAGTGTGGAAGGCTTGCTTTTTAAGTACTTCTACCTCAATGGTATGTACCTATATTTATGGAAGTAGCATATAAGGATGCTTATATTTCTTTCTTTATTCCTGTAGAGATTCATAGATTGTAATATTCTCACAATATTTACATAATGTACATGCAAGTTATATTTTTGAGTTTGTATTTAGCTATAATTTACTTTAATCCTTATCGGGAAACAATTTTTTGAAAAATATTTTTAATGTTAAAACAGTATTTACGTATCAAGAAGCATTTCGTGTTAAATACATATATATAACTTTGTAATAGAGACACTGCATATCCTTTACAGGAAGGAAAATTGTGTTTTTTAAATAATATATTTTTAATAAGATTTTTTTTTCAAAAATTTTTGGCATTAATATGCATCTGTTGTAGTCTTAAAATATATATTTTAAATTTAATATATATTTTTGTTTCCGATGATTCTAATAATCCACCAGGTTCTGCCTCTTTCTACATGCAACTTGCTTCTGTAATCTTTTACAGAATATTCACAATTTCAGCTTTCTATATAAAAGTAAACCAGCACAGACATCTGCCACACAATTCCATAGCCATAGTACCACACAGTACAACTCAGGATCTTTTATATTATATTTTACAGATGACAATAGTTCCATAAGTACGATTTATAATAGCGATTCTAGGAAATGGGGCACAGAGTATGTTCCCTAGAATCGTAACTTTTTAAGTCGTACCATTCATATGACAGGCTCCTTACCTCACATACAATCAAATTACTAAACAGATGCAGCTATATATTATTAATAATATATTTACATACAACAACTTACAATAGTACTGGGACGTTGCAACGACTGCAACTAACACAGATTGCCGATATTATATAAACGGTTTTTATTATCTGTTATTACATTGGTAAGTGATTGCAATGTTTTTTTACGAGTTAAACGTACTACGAATATACATTCAAGATTTTTGTTTACGATATGAATGGATGCCCAGCACAACTGACAATTAGTACCGAAATAAGATTAGATTATAAATGTTGCATATCATATTATAATATTGTTATACATTTGCCAAGCAGTGTTACATTCATCAACTCTCAGGCTTTGGATCATACACGGATTTCATTCCACTTCTTATCGATACTAAATATATTTCTTGTAATATTTTCATTACAATACCATATGTATAATATATATTATAACTTTATATATATATATATATATATATATATATATATATATATATATGAAATAATGTATATTATATTTAATTATTTATATATTATGTATAAGATATAATATTATTCTGTTATATGTAATATATATATAATTATATAGATGGAAATCCAGTTATTAATTTATAATGCAATATCTTGTAGAACAAGAGAGGAAGACAGATATTTTTCGTTAACTTGATAAAGTATCACACACATTTCTGGTTCTACCACTAGCTCGCTTTTTTGTATTAGCAGTAAGTAATCTACGATTGATATTATTTGTAAGAGTGTTATTTACGAGAGAATTATGTTATTGAGCTACTTTTGATATTTGCTTTCAATTATTTTGGTATCTACTCGATCCTTTGCCTGAGATCCATATACTGTGTATATCAGAGTGATGTGTTACAGAATGTCACATAATAGTAAGCATCATTTGACAGGCCGGACTTCGCTGGGCATTAAAAACCGGTTACCTAGCTAATATCACAATACAATTTCGAACACTCACTGTTATAATTGCGATTATATTACGAATTCAAATGGTGTGCAAACATTCCGCAGCACGGAGACAGCAGAGAACAGAGAAAACAAGAAAAGTAAAAAAAAAAGAAAGAAAGAAAGGGAGAAAGCAAAAAAAGAAATAAAACGATGATATTATCGATTGAACGAGCACACTTACAGCTAATAGAAGAAAACTCGCAAAGAACTTTGCATAGTATTTTTTGGGTCTAACAATGCAATTTACCGTATATTAAATGAAAAGGGGTATTGGACGACACACACCGTGTCGTGAAAAAGTATCTCTTAGTGATGAAATACGAAACAGTACTTGCCATTTTTCCAAAAAAACTCGATGAGTAGGTACAGCAAGCTCACTGAAAAAAAAAAGTATCTTTTGTCTGCGATAATAAGTTTTAACTTTATCCTACTGCGATTTAGCATTTGTATCATGCGTTGTTACGACTATTATTGCTATTACGATAACTACTACCGCTATTATTACCAATATCAATACCGCCACGACTACTACTATTACTACTACTACTATTACTATTACTACTACTATTACTACTGTCCTACTACGATTACTATTATTATTGTCGTTAATCCACAACTTTGGACGCATGTGTATTATCTCGAAGATGATTTACGTTCGAAAACAAATGTATATCTGTTTCCTGCGTCGCACGTTACGGCGTACGTCGCTTTTCTCGATCATAGAAAACCATTATATTTTAGCGCATTTAATTATGTGTTGTATATATGTAAATTATTATGTAATTTGTATGCGCGTCACAAAAGAAAAGGTAACTCGTGTATTCGATCGCTAGCTGTTACTAATATAGATGTAGCTGTAAGGAATATTACTTTGACGGAAGGTGGTAGAAGGTTTCTCTTTTAAACGATGGACATCTTTCTATCTTTTTGCTCGTGATATTGTGAAACGTATTTCGCAACTGCACTTTGATTTACATCTTTATTTATTCAGTAATTTAAAATGAAAAATTTAATTCTAGTCATCAAAGACATTTTTATGCATTCGGTGAAATTTGTATTTGGAATTGGTGTTTTATTGTCAGTATTAATATTTTAGAATTAATGTATCTAAATTGGAAGAGATCGATATTACTAAAATACTTTGAGAAAACATTTTTTTGGAAAGTATTTGTTTTCGAAAATATTTTTAATCGACTGTTGTTTTTAAGATTGCGTGTTTGTTTTTAATATGTTTCTAATATATTTTCTAGATATATTTTTAATTAATATATATATATTATAGTTTAAGAAAACAAGCCCAGTGTGCAAAGAATATGTGGTACTTAATATTTTTAATTATCATCTCGTTATCATTATTATTTTATGACTAAAAGTCGTATTATCTGAAAATGATCTTTTATATTAATATATGAGATTGATATAAATTCTTAGATAGAATTTTATACATGAACGTGATAGTGTAACAACATTATTTTTCAAATAAGGCTATTGACCTATTGAGAAAAAAAGATTTAAAACTCGATTAAAATTGTGGTAATATTACAAACACAAATAAAAAAAAAAAAAAAATTACATCGTGATGTCTTCGTTCGAATGAGAAACCACATTTTTTAACGCAATATAGTCTACATAATTTTTTATCTAAATTCTGTTCCCGATCGTCATGTCGATCCTTAACGAGTGTACTTTTTCAAAAACATATAAGCTTAAGAGATAGAGTTAGATTTTAGTACGCTCGAGAGGCAAAAATGCGAAATTTTCGATGTAAATAGCGGCAATTTTTCCAATATGACCGTATCGAGGAATATTTCGCTTCTAAAGTAGTCACACGCAAATATTTAAGTATGATATTTATTCGAATCATGGCGTATCCGAAGTAAGTTATTCTCTAAGTAAACGGGTAGGTCAATAGCGTTTTGTGCTATCCCACGTATAATTATATAATGGCAATCGCATTGCAAAAGTATACATACGACTGATTTTCGATGAGTGCGAGTGTGAGTGCGCGGTATGTACTGAATTAAGGCGTATAAGAAAGATGAAAGAGGAAAGAAGAAGTGAAGTACAGTAGAAATACTGGTACTTGGCGGAATTTCTGAACAGATAATTGATGAGAAAATTCGTATCGGCTTCCTCTTTGCCACGCGTGAAAGAAAAAAAATTTATATTCGCGTATGCGAAAAACGATCTACCGAAGTTCTCGATAGGAACTCCAAGATCATATGCAAGATTTATAGAAGAGTAAATTTTTCCTATTTGTCTTAGCTTTTTGAAATCTAATGGGATAAGATTCCTCGATTTTCAGTATTTAATAATTCACACGAATCTTAAATGAAATAATATTGAAATGACATTTTGCTCATTAGGTATTTCTTTCTTTAGATACCTAGGTAGATATTCTTTTTATTGCAGTTCGATTCAGGAGAGAATTTTTTGTTATATTTTTTTACCGTTAAATTCACTACAAACTTGGGACAACCAAGGAATTTTTGAAGTATACAAAAGACATTTTATAAACAACGTGATAAAAATTACCAACCAGATTGGTAATTTTTGAAAAATGAAGAAATTTTTGAAAAATTATTGAAATTTCCTAAATATATTTTATTATTTTAGTAAAATTAATCAAACATATTTTACATTTTAATGTAATAGATATTAATATTTTTTATTATGGTAGATATTAATCAGAATAGCTCGCATAAAATTCTTCGTAGTACATGTTGTCCCACAACTACTATTTCAGGATAAATTCTAAGTTCTAAAAGAAAATTCTCTCCGTGTACTTATTTAAGTAGGATAAAAATTTAATAGTTGAGAATAAACATGCTTTTGCTGGTTCCTATCGAGACATTCGTTAGGTGTAGCAATTTTGTAGCGACAAAACTGATAGAATAAAGAAAAAATCGATGAAGTGCTCTTTTTAGGCTGACCGTATGGGTTCTACGAAAGTGACTTATTATTGGCTTAATGTAAACGCAATGGAAGTTGGCGGAAGAAAGTGCAAATTCTCCGATTTACGCTTTAAGATATAGACCTTCTTCTTGTTTTCAACAAGCAATTATCTGGACAGAATGAGCTCTGCATCAAAAAAAGAACTCGAATTCATAATGCGACATTTACCGAGAGATGTATATTTTACTTTCGGCTAACGTTCCCGCTAAATATTTTCTCCATAAAGATTTGATACGCCACGATAATTTATTTATTGTATACTATGCGACACTGCGTTATATTTAACTGAGCAGTCGGTGATGGGCGTAAAATGGTTTGACAGTATTTGGATACATGTGCAGACATTATGAATTTGAATCTGTTTTTATTATTAGACAATTTACATATTTTTTTTACAAATTTGAAGCTTTACGATCGTAAAAGAAACTGACAGAATATATTAGACAATACGTGATTTTACTTCCAATAATATGATAAATAATTTTGATCAATTTTTACTGATTACGCATAAATGTGATAACAAAATAACCTTCAGATATAATCTCTATTTTCTATATTTTTCTATGATAAATCTTACTTACATTTCTTTTATTTTACACGTCAGATACGATTTCGTTAGAAGTGCTTAGAAATAGTTACGTGTAACTAAACAAAAAACTGCATTCGTGCGCATGTATCCGAGGCCCAACACTACAAGTAGCTTAAGCATCGTTCAGCTTGCATATGCTTGCAATTTACTGCACATACGCTGCACTTAATTTATCGGAGATTATCTGGAGCAAGACTTGAACCTTTGTGCATGGATATGTGCTGCAAACGCGATTTATTTATTTTTTTTTCGCAATCGTTGCGGAGCGCAATGAGGGAAGATTGTTGTGATTACTGAACGAATGGTAAAGTTGTACAGAGGCTACCTCCATTTCGTTATTCGTTATAGTTTTTACGTTATTCTTTAAGTTTTAACACTATGTTATCACGAGATCGTAAAGAAAAAATATAAAGTGGATATTCGGAAGGATTAGTACAAAACGTGATATTTGGAAGATGAGAAAAGTATTATTCGTTGCCGTCCATTTTTTTATACGATAGAGTGATTTAATTTTGATCTTTACTGACGTTAATTGGATGCTTCAGAAGATATGGGAAAAACTTTAGGGGATGGTGGATTTCATCAAAAGAATTAATTTTTGTTAAAGAACCCATGTCCTCCCCGACGCGTTCTTGTTCGAATTGCCTGTGAAGTAGTGCAACTCGCACGATAGCATTGCGCGTGACGTCTGACAATACTAGTCCACACATTCTTAAATTTTTGCATTTTTTAAAATTTTATTTACACATTTTATTACAAGAGATACTCAAAGTGCCTGCCTCACACCTGATTACATACACTATATCTCTATAGCGTTGAATTTCTTACTGCTTGGAACATTTCAATATTGTTCCTAATTTGATCAAAACCCCCTATGATCTTTTTAATTATCTCTTTCCTAGTGTCGATTGGA